GAACTTAGCTATTCAGGAGCCCTACATTGAAGTTAATGTATTTGAAAAAAAATGTTGTTCATTTTTTTTTCTAAGTGCAACACATTACTAATGAATGGTGCAAAATAATCTTGACTGGTTGGAAGGCAGTGTGGATACCTAGAAGGTCTTCTGCATTTTTAATCCCTTGTGCATCATACCATATTTTAATAACCTCTAAGTACTCTCTTTCAAACTATTTGCTCCCAGATTAATATTTGTTATGAACTTGCAAAGGTGCTGGCATTTACCATTTCACATCTCTGGTGGTGAATGCATCAGCTTCACCGTTTTGCCCCTCATCTTCTCATCTTAAACTATTTTTCTCCAGATGTCCATTCTTTTTTATCCCTTGGCTCTTTGTGCTACCCACATTTGGATGGCAATCTTTTTGACTACCGTCTCCCCTGAGAACTTCTCCTGGGAGGGTAGAGCTGGGTTTCACACATTAAGAAGCATTCTCTCCATTACTGCTCATCACAGGTGTGTTTAAAAAAAATGTTGGCACTTTTGGAGAGTAAACTTGGCTCTACCGATGTGTTGTTATGGAGAGAATTCACCGAGCCCTCCATTTCTTTCTCAGCGGAAGAGAGAGAAAGATTGTGGTACAGTCCCTGTGGTATTTCAGAGATGGGCTGAATTTATGAGGGAGAGAAGTATTCAGATTCATTTGTCAGGTTTTGGGGATGACAAGGGTAATCCTGTAAAGGGAGATTTGTCCACCTTTGATGGGTTTTGCTACAACATGCCATCAGTTCATATTACTGTTGACAAATGCTTCCCTGTACTCGACCAAGTCATGGGTGCAGATTACTGTCTGGGCCTGAGTATTCCAGCACTTTCTGACTGTCTTTTTGGAACTGGGATGAGTTTCTGGCATATTCCCATTCTGAAATCTCATTTACCACTGCCTGGATGATCTGTCTCTATTTTGTCCTTCTACATCCATGCAGGCAAAATCAAGAGAGAGTGTTTTAAGGAGAGGCGTCATCAATCCTCAGGTGGGGGGGAAGGCCAGCAACAAATGCAACTGGGACATGTATTTTCCATCACAGTGTAGCAGAGAGCTGAAAATGAAACTAAGGGGAAGAATTATCTTGTAGTATAGCTGTTGTGAGGACAGAGATAATCTGAGGGGAGAGCAGGTAAGACGCCCACAACTGATCTGAAAACCAGCCAAAATAAAAGGGAAGGAGAGAGTAGTCATTTAAGGCTTTTGTTTTCATTAAAAGGAATGCTCTGTAGGCCTTTTACTTTCCTACAGGAGTGAGACCAATGAGTAAATAGTACATTGCTACAATGAAGAAAGAAACCAGAAAATTCCTTTTTTTTTTTTCTTAATGGAGAGAAATTATTTGCAAATACTATTTCTCCCACAAACCAGCTTGTTTTCAGTGGTTAATTCATATTATATGACAGAGCATTTTTAAAGGGCAAGTATTTTTAGTTTAATAAACAATTTACACAAACGTAGAATCATTTATGTTGAAAAAGACATTCAAGATCATAAAGTCCAACTGCTAAAATTCATGCAGTCATAGGCAGCTGAGGCTGGAGGGGACCTTGGAGGACCATGCAGTCCCTCTGCTTACCCTGAGGCAGAGCAACTGTACCAATGTCATTCTCAAAAGGTGTTTGTTTAACCTATGTTGAAAAGCCTCTGATATTGAAGTGTTCATGGTCAGCATGTTCCAGGGCTTTGCTATTTTTATCATTAGAAAGTGTCCCCGGCTACCCAACTGGAATTGTATTCTCTGTGATATAAGCAGGTTACTTCTCTGTTCATCATGAATATAGAAAATTGACTTTTCTCCATGACAGACTTAATGAATTTGAAGACTGTTCTCTTACATCCCCACTTTTTCCTTAGACTAGACAATGCCAATTCTCTTTGTACTCTTGGATAGTTTTTTTAGGCATCCCATCTTTCTCATTTCTCTTCTTTGGACTGTGTGCAGCAAATGTTTGTTTCAGAGTGGTGCCTTATCCAAGAATCAATCAGAAGAGGTGGTGGACACAGTGTAGGTTCTTGCTGTTTCCTTTTAGTTCAGAGGCTCCAAATACTGAAACTGAAGGTTGGTGTAGGTTGTTCTGAAATGTCAAGTAGTCAAAGACTGCAGAGAAACAGAGTTGTTGTCTTAGATCTTATTAGTCTATTTGAAGTGAGTTGCAACATATAGATGGTCAAAATCTAGTCTTAGAACAGTGATGTTTATTAAAACAAAAAAGCCCGCTAAAATTTGAATATAATAATGCTTTTGGTTTATTTCAAACTTTTCTCTCTTTTGAAACTTTTGGTCATCTATAGATGCTTCTCCACAACCATAAGGTTTAATTTTATTTTTTTTTTCATTTCCTCTCACAAAAATGGTAATCTTAGCTTCCAGTCAATCACCTGATATTAGGAGTTTGGGTTGTAAGAGAATCACTATATGCAATTAATAAAGTTTCTGGATATGATTACTGGGTTTTCTTGAGGGCTATCAGCTTGATTAGTAAGGAGGTACCTGTATAATTTTGTTTTCTTTAATTTTTTTAATATTAATGATGTATTGAAAAAACAGTTCTGATAAAATCCACAGTATTCTGCTGGATGTACACGTCCTTGCCAATAGCTAAAAGGCGGGGTGGAGTTACAACTCATTGCCAATATTTGGCCAAGTCACTTGTGTCTCCCTTTCTGCCCTTTGTGGGAAAGCTTAGAGGGTGACTGTAGCTTGAGTGAAGCTCATTCTCCACCCATGTTTGGAGGAGTGCGTTACCCTCTGTACGGGGAGTATTTTATGACAATGCCCTGAGTTGTTTTGTTGTTTTAAAGATTATCTTCTGTGGAAAACCCCTATATGTCTCTGCTTGCTTTGCTGCCCTGCCAGTCCCTTCAGTCTCTACTTTTACTGCTGACATTTTGTATTCTTAAGTTGCCTGTTTTGGCTGACCTGATCACTTTTGTAGTTCTTTTTCCCTTCCTGACCTCCCCCTCAGTTCTGTTTTCTGCCCATGAGATATTACAGTCTCCAGAACAGCAGAAAAGAAAGATGGAAGAATTAAACAAGAGAATCTAAATTAAAAACTATAAAATCTAAAAGTCAGGCTGGATGGCTTAGGATGTATAACCTCACTTTCCAAATCACTAGTGATGACTGAAAAGCCTCAAATGAAATGGATGGGTGGTCTTGTCTGGATAATCAGCAGAAAATTTCTACTTATTCCCCTCAGCCCCTTGTGGCAGGTCCTTTCCGGCATCTGTGATGAGGCTGCCAGGACTGAAAAGGGGCATTAGTATCTTCTCACTCTGTTAAAATGTGTCCTTTCGAGCCACTGTCATGCCTGCTGGTAGAGAAAGGTATCTGGCACTGCTCTTGACAGAGGGGTTTGCCTTCATCTTATTGAATATGCACACATCCTGCTTACAGCAACCAGCTTCTCTTTGGTTCAGACAGCATGTGCTCACATGTCTCCCCAAAAATCATCTATTAAAGTGATACTGAGAAGCTAGGAGAAAAGTTTCTTTGCTCTCTGTCCCTTCATATTTACACTGCCCACATTTGTGCTGAATGATGGAAAATGCACCTGCTTAGCACAGGGGAGAGAGGGAAAGGCAGTGCATTGAATAAAATCCACCAGGCATGTGGTCCCACTGCTTTGTGGGGGCCATCAACGTGAGGGCTCCTGTCACCTGAGCACATCCCCACCCTTGCCTTTCCACCATTGTGACACCTGCAGATGCACATGGGAGAGCATTTAAAAAGCTGCTCAGTTAAACAAGAACAGGAATCTTGAGTGGGGACCAGTACAAATGGATGAAGCAGGAGGCTGAACACAGTTAACAAGGCTGCTTGCAAGGTGTGTTTTTTTACAAATTACTTTCATTATGTTGATTTGAAAGCAGAAGTCTAAAATTGGCATCATCTCTTTGGTACAGAATCATAGAATAGTTTGGGTTGGAAGGGACCTTTAAAGCTCACCTAGTCCAACATTCCTGCAATGAACAGGGACATCTTCCACTAGATCAGGTTGCTCATGCTGACCTCAAATATTTCCAGGGATGGAATATCTACCACCTCTCTGGGCACCCCATTCCAGAGTTTCACCACTCTCACTGTAAAAAATTTCTTCCTTTTAGTTTAAAAGCATTAGCTCTTGTCCTATCGCTACACTCATAAAGATCCCCTCCCCATTTTTCCTTTAGGTGTGTTTTCAGTGTTGAAAGGCTGCTGTAAGTTCTGTCTAGACCCTTTTCCAGGCTGAACAGCCCCAACTTTCTCAGTCTGTCTTCATAGGAGAGCTGATCCGCCCCTTGGATCATCTTTGTGGCTTCCTCTGGACCTGCTCCGACAGGTCCATGTCTTTCCTGTGTTGAGGACCCCACAGCTGGATGCAGCACTCCAGGAGGGGTCTCACCAGAGCAGAGGGGCAGAATCCCTGCTCTCCACCTGCTGGCCATGCTGCTTTGGATGCAGCCCAGGGCACAGTTGGCTTTCCGGGTTGCAAGAGCACATTGCTGGATCACGTCCAGCCTCTCATCCACCAGCACCCCCAAGTGCTCCTTGGCAGGGCTGCTCTCAATCTGTTCATCCCCCAGCCTGTTATTGATAGAGGGGTCTGCCCTGACTCAGGTGCAGCACCTGGCACTTGACCTTGTTGAACCTTACGAAGTTTACATGGGATGTTCATGGATGTTCTAGTGGCAGTGCAAAGGTGTTTCCTCTGCTGCAGGTATTCACAGCATAAAGGAGAAATGAACTACTGTGTTGTGAAATATTTTGTATCAGTGTAAGTACATCTGTACCTACCACTTTAATTTTACAAGTAAAGCATCACACCCCAGCTGAAGTAGTCAAACCACTATGGAAACTTTGGATAGAACAGGTCTTAGAAGAATTAAAACCCAGAGGGACTGGCTTAGCTTGAACCACCAAGTTATTTAAACTAACCCAGCTGATGTTTGCCTGAAGCAATTGAGGGAGATCTTTGCCTTTCAGGATGTGGTAGGGATGATGAAGAAGAGTGTCTGGTGTCTGCAGTAGAGTGACAGGTGGCTGAAGACAATGGGAGAGAGACTCTCCCATAAGCAGGTGTATCCACAGGAAGACTACTGTTCAAGGACTGAGTCATGTCAACAAGCATTTAAATGTGTAGCAGGCATGTATAACTTGCCTTTTCTCAAGGAAACTGTTGCAGGATTTTATGGCAATATTTTGCACTCTCTTGAGCAGAGGGGAAGATGTCCCCCATATAGTTTGTGGCCCACTGTACAACAAAGAAAATCTCTCTTCCAGGTCTTAGTCTATGACTGAAATGTGTAAATTAAATAAAAACGTGCCTGAGTTCTGCTAGCACTTGGGATCTTAATGCAGTAACCAGTGAATTGCAAATCCAAGTCCTAAGATCACTACACTATGTTTGGATTTTTTTTAATGAGTATGGTTAAAAGTGATGAGATGGAGCTGAGGGGGAGAGTTTGAAATTTACATTTTCTTTTAGCTCACTTCAAAATAAATGTGAATAAATCTATCAGCTCTTCACCCTTTTGTACTCCTTGGTGAATAGTGGTTCTCTATTTTTATTGCTGTGGTGTTATTACAGGGTTAACATCAGTGTCAATTCACCAATGGGCCATTTCAGAAGCTTTAGTAACTCCATCCTCTGAAACAGAGGGGTTGTCCTTACAGTTCACCAGATTATCTGTCTGCTCCTAAGATGAACTAGTTGTGGAATAACCTTTTTTGGAACAGGTCCTTCTTCTTAAAAAAGTTTTGGCAAACATTTAACTGGTATTTTTTTCTCTGTAGCTATTAATATGTTGGCTTTGCTCTGTGAAGTTGACATGGTGCAGTGTACTCCATCTCATATGGCACTTGCAGCTGCAGAATCTTTCCTCTCACCCCCTTGTATGAGATTATACCTGCAGAGAAGGGGGATGTGCCTCAGCCCCCTCCTTTCCTCCCATCCCAAGCTGTGGGGATTCTTCAGATTTGTGCTAGGCAGTTCATGAACATGGAGGAAACATTTAATTGCTAGGGCAAAAATTGCTTCAAATACTGATTTTACAGGGTTTTTTTTGTTTGTTTGTTTTTGTTTTTTTCCCTTAGGAGTGGGGACTTGATTTGAACTGCTGATTATTCGTTGTCCTTTATCTGGTGAAAGTTTTACTATCCTAACTGGCATGATGTCCTTCTTTTCAGGATGGCTTGTCATCTTGACATGGCCAGTGAGATCATGAATAAAGAATAGCAAAACTAAAGAAACAGGTGAAAGCAACAAAGAAATTGTTCTTTACTCCTAGATAGTACAGAGCTGGGTTACATGAGCTTCTTTTATACAAGGGGATGAAGCCCTCCCTGAGATATTGCTGGCATCAGTCTTATTTGTCTTCTTCTGAAAGCTGACTGCTCTAAATCTGCACATTCACCTTTCATGTTGTTATGGGCTCCTAGAGTAAGACATTACTGTTAATGTTTGACTCAGATATGTGGGAATGAATATTTGTTTCAGAGAGCAAAGAAACCTACTCATGTCTATCCATTCTCAGTCAGCTGTGAAGCCAGATTTCCCAACCAGGAGAACAGTTCTTTGGCTCTTAAAACCTACTGTGAGCTTTGATAAGAATAGCCAAAAACCTCAAAGCTTTTAGAAAGCTGGAACTTGCTATTTTTTTTAACAAGTCTCTTTCAGATCCTGACATGGTTTGGGAAAGTTAATGTTTGGTAGGCTGAGAAACTTGAGTGCTGAGTTGTTAATTTTGTAGCTTGAATGGAGGAGATGGACCACACCACCTTTGCTTGTTTTCCCCACAGAGCCTGCTGGGACTCCACTGAAACGCAGCCAAGTCTTTATCCATGTTGGTATCAATAGTTGTCTGCCTGCCACCACCCCAGTTTTGCAGCCTGCTGAAGAGCTGCAAAGGCTGGCCACATACTGCAGCAGGCAGCTTCACTGGAGCACCTCGATGCTACAACCAGAGCCCTACGAGGATGCAAGCTCAGCTAACACGAATCTCGTGGAGGCATACATGTGACAAGGCAGTGAATGCATTGCAGCTGCACCCTGAGGACAGCATAGGGCTGGCTTCCCTCAAAGGCTGCAGGTGTTGGGCTCAGCACTTATTGGGGCAGCTCCAGGAGGAGCAGCAGCAATGCCAGAAGCTGTAAAATGAGCACTAACCTGTTTGAGGAAGAGTGGCAGCCTATTTCTTGAGGTGCTTGTGATACATTCAGCTCTAAAACTGAAGTGTCCTTGTTTGCCATGGGCTGCCATGGCCTGTATGATTTTTAAGCTCTTCATGTGCGTGCAGAGCTCATGGCCATCTTTCTCTGTTGCCTGCCAGCACAGTCAGAGGGTAGGCTTACAGATAAGGGGATAGACACGTGCTCTCCCTACATACTGCTCAGGATGTGTGCTCCTCCTGGCCCTCTCCCCCTGACTCCTGATGCACAGGAGATGTGTTACCCTCAGTCAGTCTGTGAAGGCTCAATTAGCTTTGCCATTGATCCCTGCATGGGATCAAACTTGTCTGGCTTTGTTGGTGCCTGTGTGTACTTGTGAATATGAGCTAGCCAGGGAGCTAATCTGTACATTTTGCACAAAGATAATTCAGTTTAATGAAACACAATCTCAAAACTGCAGGTGGGACGTTGTTCAGGCACTGTGTCTTGCTGGAGCCAAGACAGTAACAGCGCTTGGTGTGTTGAGGGCTTGGATTGAGATCATTGCCAGGAGGAAACTTCATTCAGCTCCTGTTTGGACATACAGAAAATTAGATCAGCTGTGATCACTGGGGTTTCTTCATAAAAATATTACACTGTAGTGGGCCCTGGTCTGGGGCGTATTTTAGTCTGGGGGAGGGTTATTTTCTTATTTCATTTTTAGTTGTTTGGGTTTTTTCCCCCTGTGTCAGTTGCTGTCATTTTGGTCTGTGTTTTCGAACATCCTTTTAGTGTTCCCAGTTGTTAGCCAGTGTCACTGAACCAGGACTGCAGCAGTCTTGCTCCATTAGCTATTACTGTTTGCTGAGAAGTTAATGTAAATGAGGGCAGTCAGGAGGAGAAAAGCAAGGGGAATTTAACCGCTCCTCCTGTTAAAGCTCTGCCTGACACTACATATTTTATTGTATGTCCGGCATAAAGGGAGATTGATAATATAAGATGAAAGGTCTGTGTGATCTCATGGCTGGTAATAATGACTGAGGGACCACTTATTTCTTCCCCTCGTTCTCCCAGTTTCAATCCCATTGTGAATGTTCTTTACTTCAGTGCATTGTTTAAAGACCACAGGTCTGGGCTTCTTTACAAGGCTTTTTTGTGGTGCAGTTTGGTCTGATTGAAACCACATTTTTATATGTGTCAAAACCAGTTCAGCACTTGAAAAGAAATCAGAGTATCGATTGGATCATATTTCTTAAGTGGATGTCACTGGCTAATTCCTTTGTTATACCATTTAGCTACACAGTATTAAGTAAGTGGTTACTATTAGGCAGTTACATATGGGTCCCATTAATTCACACATTCTGGCTGCTTTTTGACTAATATCTTGTCAAATAGGTTAGGATTTCAAAATATCTGTCACCAAACTGCAGGGACCCTTCATTTCCCAAGCAAAAGCTAGTCCTCTTAGGGGACCACAGGTTAGCATAGTATTGACATGTGGAGAACTTCTGTTTCTTTGAAAATGGCTTCAGAACAAAGCAACCTTAGTGGTTTGGCTTTGGTCCCCCCCCCCCATTAGGCTTTCTGCAGTTTAAGAAAATGGGTATATATGGTTTGCAAAAAGAGCTGTGGATGATACCTGCATGTCCTGTCATCTTCCAGCACTCATCTCCAGGAGTGAAATGCTGACCTTCTTGCCAAACTTTCTTCCACTCCTTCTACATCAGGCTCCTTGTCTTTTTGTCAGTCCAAATGAACATCATTTCACCTTTGATGGGTATTGGATTGATCACTGCTGTCATGGCCTGTGATGACCCTTTGTTTTCATTGTTCTTCCTCCCAACAAGCTCTGGGGCCATTTGAAAGACATCGCGCTCCTTTTTGGAGTCAGGTTTATAGAGTGGGGAGAAAAAGAGGAGATGCTCTGAGACTTCAGAACAGAAGGGTGCAGTGAAGTTTGAGGGGTCTGCTCTGCTGTTTTAGCCCGTATTTTCTCATGGGCTGTTCTCACCTAGTTCCTCCAGAGGCCTCTGTTCCTGCAGCTCTTTCTGCTGGAAGGACAACACTTCTTTGGAGAGTCGGTAGCTCAGCCAGAGTGAGGAGCAGCTGAAGTGTGGCTGTCTCACAGCCCTGGCACCTGGCCCCTCTGCAGGGGTAGAGAGGAGCATGAGCACTTCCTCTGGGCTTATGCTGCTGCCAAAACCCCAGTGGCAGCAAAAGGAGGATCTTGCAGCCTCTTGGCAGAGAACAAGAGGAGACATCCCAAGTGGATTAGAGGAATGAAATTACACTGGCTCAGAGCAGAGTGGTAACTGAAGGACTAGATAGGTAGGCACATTTTACCAAAAGGAGTCTGAGCTAACTAGAAAAAGTTAGGAGCCTCTGACCTAAAATGTAACATGATTTTCTTAAGCCCTTTCACAGGAGCTTCCATAAAGTCCTTCTTTTTCTGTTGGTTGTTGTGAACTTGTTCAATCTGTAAAAACAAAAAAATGCCTTCACCCACCACAACCCTAAATATAGTCTTTCTGTAATTGTTCCACCTCCCAGACGTTGCAACCATCTCCAGGGAGGAGCACTGTCTTCTTTGGCATCTGTAAAGTGAGTAGCATATGACATGTATGGCCCTAAAAACTGTAGGGAGAGTATACTCCTCATGCTCTGACCTCTGATTTACTCTGGCATTTGTTCCCTTTTGATATGTTCCTGGGGCTGAGGTTTGAGTGTGCCTTGTGGAGCCAGGATGCAGTTCATTTTCCCCTGTTGGCTGGCACTGTAAAGTGGGCAAAGCTGCACTCCCTTTGCTTCCTGCCGAGCTCTTCAGAAGGGAGCTTTTCTTTTCCCTCTCTTTGTGTATTTTTGGTAAGCATGCCGTGTTGCAACAGAATAAGCCAATGAAAGTCAAAACTTCCTCTTTTCCAGTCTGTAAACATTTCCTGGAACAATATGCTCAGCTTTGAAATCCTTTCCAGAGAGTATCTTAAGACCTCCCTCTCTCTTTCTATGAGTCACTTGATCAGAGCAGCATTCCCTTTACTTCTGTTCAAGCCACTTCCAGGCAACCTTGTTAAAGCAATGAGGATTTAGTATATGGGAAACCACTGCCAGGTTAGCCATTCCCTCAGGACATGCAGCTGTTTACCATCTGCTGGAGCTTCTTGGGAGTCTTTGGGCTCTGGTCCCAGG